GGAATGTGGAGGCTTGTTTCCATTGAATGCTGCAAATTGAAGCACTTCCTTTTCAGACCCTTCTGGATGGCAGTTTCTGCAGGCAGTGACTACGTCAGAGCTAAAATGTGAAATTCCTGAGAAGTCATTTTTTTAAATTGACATTACATAGAAGCTTCAGTAATTGCATAGCTCACCTGTGATGGTGTAGGCTGGTCTGTCTGTGACCTGAGATAGGAGCTTTCTAACAAAATCACTTTTGGAGACAAAGCTCTTGCAACCTCCCACTTTTCCCACTCTGAACCAATCCAGTCCTTTTCAAAACGCTTAAACTTTCCTAAACGATCTTTCACATCTTCAGCTGAATGCACTGTAGTATGTACCTTGATAAATTCTCTCCCTTCTGTGGCCTGAGGAAGCTCTCCAGTGTAGGTCCAGGATCCAGTGTGCTTACTGATTAAAGCGGAAATGTGAAATACCCAAAGCAGATACTGGCCATCGTGAAGAGGATGAGAGCAAGTGTGTCAACCTCTGCATGAATCCTCGTGGTGGAATGTGATTATTGCTGGTTTTGGCAGCTCCTCTGGAGTACCTTTTTCTTGCTTTTGCCACATTTGTCTTTTAATTTCACTTTTCACATCATTGCTCTTACTAAATAATTGTATTCTGAGCCTTTTCCACGTGATGCATGCTTAAGGTTCTTGTTATTTCACTGTAGATTTTCCTTGCCACCTTACAGTGTGTTCCTATTACCCTTCATCTGTGCTGCCGCTGCACACCCTGGTCAGGGAACTCTATTCTTTCCTTTTCGTGTGTACTGTTGCATGCGTCTGCCTGCCTGTAACAACTGCTGCCCCACCTGTGGGCACGCAGACCGGGAGCCACTTCCATGCTTGAGCTGGAACTGGTGGGAGGGATACGTACCCTTCCCTCCTCAGCACTACTAGAAGCAGTAACACTTTGCTTATTTGTCCTGCATAGTAAGTATGTCACTTTCCTAATTCACTCCTCCAATATGAAACATTCCTGCAGAGGTTTGGAGCCAGTTCTTTCTTTGATGCAGTGGTTGCAAGGAATGTGGCTGATAGCCGGGGAAAGCGGAACAGATGAAGTAGCTGTCAGGCAAGAGACAGCGACTCCATCATTTGGCCTTTGCAATAGAGAGATGATTTTTCATTGCTGGCATTTTTGATGTTCCACTTTTAATCAGTTTTTTTCAGAAATGCCTGCTATAAACTCAGGTTTTCTTGGATTTCCCAGTTGCAGTCTTTAGAGTGAGCAAGTAGAAAAGTTTGAGGAACTTTGAGAACCAAGTGGGTGAGGATGTGTGCTTGCGAGGAGTGCTGGGTTTAGCACCGCAGTGGCCGGATGCTGATTTTGTTGTTTGGTTTTGTACTGAACAGATTTGAAAAAAATCTAGATTCCTTTACCATGTTCTTCAGAAAAAGTCTGCCCTAGTGGTTAACCGTCACTTCCACATCTGTGAATGAGGATATTTTGCAATACTGTTGGGAATTTAGAATACTTGGTAATATACAATTTCTTTTATTCCTGTTACGAGGTCTGCCTTTGAAAACCCTAAATTTGAGTGCAGTTGCTTGTTTGTAAGTGTGAGTGGGACAGTGAAGCTATCCAAAACAAAGCTAGATTTCCTCCCCTCCCCTCCCCCGAACGGCAAGCTTTCTAGCAGGACCGAAACTTGGTATTTATGTGAAGGGTTTTTTTATGCTCTTGCAGTCAACTCGGTGAATAGAAAAACTTGTCAAAGCATGTCTGAGGAACTACTCTCATTTCTGCCTTCTTTAAGTTGTGTTAGTTGTTTGCATATGAAATGCTTGTTCTTCTGACATAGGAAATCTGAACATAATGGCAAAAAAATGCTTTCAGAGGCAAAAAGCAAAACTTAATGCAGTGCAGACTTCCCCTGCTGATCCTGGCTGTTTGGGTGAAGACAGTCCCATCTGGTTATCCTCAAGAACCTAAGTATGGCAGCTATTGGAAAGAACAGTTGCTGTTTCTCACTGTGGCTTTTTTGCATAATCTGGGTGAATTTTTTCTCTTCATTTGACCAAGTGGAGATAATTTGCTACAGAGCAAATGCTGATCTGCTGGCGATGCTGATTGTAGTGCTCCTTATTCAGCATCCAGCATTGTCTTCCAAGGTGGGCTTGACCTGTGCTGATAGTGGTTGCTGCAGGATGGGGGAATGACAGGACTGTACTGTCATTCAGTGCTGAAATCTAATCTTCTCTTTCCTCTACAAAGACCTGTAGGCTGCTGCCATTCCCCTCGTAAGATGACTACTTGCAGTGCTTCTTGAAAAGTAAACATATCTATGAAATAGTCTTGATCTGAGAAAATGCCTGTAGGAGTCCTTGTAGTTTCCACTTCAGTGTGTCCTGGAATTGAAACTTAGAATTAATCTGCATGGCAGTTTAACTGGCTCTCTATTGATGTACCATTACCACAAGTATTGCATTTACTAGAGAACGATCATCTTTAACCTATATTTTGATTCCTGATTTTTGTATTTGTAGGGACCAGCAGCACTAACACAGTTGGGGCTGCAGTGAGCAGCCAAGCACCCCAGTCTCAGCCCACTGCTATTGCCTCAAGCCGGAAGGGGACTTTCACAGATGACCTGCACAAGCTGGTAGATAACTGGGCCCGAGATGCCATGAACCTGTCTGGCAAGAAAGTTGGCAAAGGGCATAGCAACTATGAGGTAAGCTGTCATCCGTAAACATTTATGGTGAGCAACTGTCAGCGTCGTCGCTGTCTCATTAGGGTATCCAACACAGTTGCCATGTAGCTTGGACAGCTGCTCTAGAAAACTGTTAGCAGTATCTTCCATGTGCAGGATTACATCACCTGCTCTGGAAGGGAAGGGGATAACTACAGAAGAGGGCCATGGCCTGTTCATGTAAACGTCCATTGGGAACGGCGTTGTGGACTGAGGGGTGAACCTGTGGTTTTTAAGAGCAGTTGCGTTAACTTTTCTTGGGGGTTGGGTTTTTTTCCAGGGCCCTGGAATGGCAAGAAAATTCTCGGCACCGGGCCAACTCTGTATCTCTATGACATCCTCCCTGGGTGCTACGCCCATCTCTGCAGCATCAGCTACCTCTTTAGGTCCCTTCACAAAGGCTATGTGCCCGCCGCAGCAGTACGGTTATCCAGCAGCGTCATTTGCCGCTCCCTGGAGTGGGACGGGTGGTCCAGCACAGCCACCGCTCGGCCAGTTCCAGCCCGTAGGTGCCACATCTTTGCAAAGCTTCAACATCAGCAATTTGCAAAAATCGATCAGCAACCCTCCCGGCTCCAACCTGCGGACCACTTAGCCGCGCTCGGGCTCGGAGACCGTGCTGGCTAGACCTCGGGGCAGGATGTGGGGAGGGAGATGGGGCCCTATACCACCTACTAGTGCTGCAATGAACTGGTAGCTTGCCAGACGGGGAATGAATTTCTCTTTTCTAACCATTGCTGTCAACTCTCTGTAACGGGAGTTTCCCCACATGCTTTCAAGGGGGAGGAGGATGATGATCAGCATCCATCTCTGTGATGGGACAGTGCTTTTGACCAGGGGGTTCTGCTCTTGTATGGACCAAGAGCTGTGAAGAGCAGTCACGGGGTGAGGTAATGCAGTCTGGCTGTAAAATTTCTCTCTGGTTTGAGGCTGAATCACACGTGTTGAGGTGGGAGAGCTGAATCCTACCTAGCATGAGGCTTTAGCATGCTTCTCATCTCTCCCTGAAGAACCAAGACCAGGAGAAAAGCTGTTTAAATCCCCCTCCTCTCCCTTTCCCCAGTCAGTCGTATCTGGCTCCGAAATGACGGGGCACACGAATGGACTTGCAGTGCAGCCCGTGCTTGATAGGTCATTACTGCTTTAAGTAAGATATTAACAGCTTTGACTGCAGCATTAGAGCAATTTAAATTGTTTAAAAATTTTTAAAAGTTCCCTGCGGACATGTACTTACCATCAGTTTTGATGTGGAAACACTGTGATATATAAATGTTGTTGGACAACAGTAGTTTAAAAATGAGTGGAATATAGAGGGTTAAAAAAGTTAAAAAGAAAAAAAATGGGAAAAAAAGCTAGCTATATCCTTATACTTATTGGAGACACTTTAACTTTTTCCTTTGTATTTTCATTGTATTAGATAAATAAATGTGAATGTAAAATTGTATAAATTAATGTACTTGAATACTTGTCTGTTCTCCCAGTATGCTTGCTGGATATTTTAGTGCCTTGGACTTCTATTGCTTCTGCAGTTAGCGTCGTCTTCCCAGCAGACCCACGGGTGAATGGAGGGCAAGTTCAGAGCAGGATGGGTTATTTGTACCTGGTGACTGGGACGTTGGAGTTTATTTAGTGATACCGTTACCGTTTAGAGTAGGTGTACGGAAGGGGAAGTCATTGAGGCAGCGGGTTGGAACAACGTTCTGCCTCTTGGGGTAACTTGTCCCGAGGGGCAGATCTGAAGTTGCTGGTGTGACAGGGGCCAGGTGGGGCTGGGACGGAGCGTTGTGGGTGAAGCTTAGAAGGAGACTAACCGCCGTAGTCTATGGAGGCAGGAGGTCTGGATCGGAAATGGGAGAGAGGATGGGGAGAACGTGTGTCTTTTGGAAAAGCCCAACTTAAGATGCAGTTTGACTCCACCTGAGGAGTGGCAAAGATGTTTGGTCAGGATGTGACTTGAGGGAGAGGTGCCATTGCTCGTTGGCATGGGCTTGTCTGCTGGGATTGCTTTTCTTACTGTTTTTTGGTTTGTGTGGTTTTCTTTTTGTTTGTGTTTTGTTTTTTTTTTTTTTTTGTAAAATCCATTTAAGCCAGGAATAGACTGTCCTGGTGCAACGTCCATTGCCGGCAATGGATGTACTTGAAACAGCCGGCATCAAGAAGTTTCCTCTCTCTTACTTGGAGGATTTGCGATTTTGTTCACTCAAACAAATTTCAAGCTGGTACCAGGACTGTAACTATCTGTCACCTCTCAGTAACTGTACTGTACCTTCTGCTTGGGTCATTCTCCCTTTTCATATTTAAAAAATACTGGTTTCCTCTTCAAAGTAAAAATAATACCAGCCAGTATTTATTCTAGTGCTGCAAAAAGCTGTGAAGGATGTGAGTACTGCTTCCTGGTACTTGGGAGTAGCTCACCGGTATCCTGGAAGCTGGTGCACCACAGATGTTACTTGCCTCAGTGGTTTTTTGTTGGTGGTGTTTTTTGGTTTTTTTTTTTCCCTGTGTGCACTGTTCCCCTGTGGAGCCTTAATAGAGAGTTTTTTCTGTCTGCGGATGTTCTCGCTCTTTCATTTTTACAAAGAAAAGTGCAAGATCCGTTCCTTTCCCACCCCTGTTTTTTACAGCAGTTTTGGCAGCAAGGGCAGGTACAGGCTGGAGGTGAAGGCCTGAGGGTGAGAGGTGGCAGGGCTCTGAGTTCCTTAGGTTTTTGGGGGTTTATTCTTTGTCACTGAAGTGCAGACTGGAGCTACAGCGTGAGAGAGGAGGCTCATCGTGTGTGTGTGTGGTGGAGGGGGGGAGGACGCGGGGGTCCCTGCGACTGAAGTGAAATGGAGAACTTCTGCTCTTCCGTCTGGATAGATGCAGAGAAGTTTCCTGAATGCCCCCAGAGCGAGGGGTGAGGTATGCTCTGGAAACAGGAGCAGTGACAAACCCGAGGCAGAAATGAAACAAAGGGGAACGTTCATGACAGGGGAACCAATCAGCTGAATGCAGCATGTGGTTATTTAATTTTGAGCTAATAAGTTTGAGGTCGTTTTTTCACTTACTGTTATGCAAGAACTGGTTTTATTTACCATTGACCCCCCCCCACCCCACCCCCTCCTGTGGATGGAATAACTGAAGTCTAGAGGAATAAACTAATGCTACTGAACTGTTAAATTATTTTGTTTAATATTACACTTTGAGTATCTTTTTCCACATAAAATCTGTTTCTGAATTACAAGCGTTTTCTTTACATTATTTAACAATGTACACTGTAAAAAATAAAAATAAAAAAAATAAAATGAATTGAAACTTTCTGGGCTTCCCTGGCCGTAGTTAGTTGTATGTTTTGCACTAAACCCAAGCACTGCGCTTCTTGTATGATTGCGCTTTGTGCTGCAATTTGTTACCTTTGTAGAGTATTTAATGAAGTCATTCAAATAAACCAAACCTGCTTTTGTTGAACTGTTGGTTTTCTTGTTCAACAGCAGGTCCCAACCTCTCCGTCCGCTTTGTGGAGTGATTTAATTGTTACCCACTTTATCAGTTTATCACAGGAAAGTACAAGAAACCCATTTTAATGAGACCCTGAACTTCTCGAAAGCAGTGATCAGTAATGAGCCTCTGGCCCTGGAATAGCATACACTAAGCTGAGGTACTATAAAGAATAATTCATAGGATGGATCCTCTCTATGATAGGAGGGGCCTGAGGGAAAGGTGGGGGGAGAAGGGGTGAAGGACGATGTACAAGCACTACGATTGCTTTCATGGCCGAGGCTGTCGAGGAGGTACCAAACGGCAGAGAGACGCGCTCAGCTACGGTGGTCAAGGGCTTGGTGGCTCTCCAGGTTTGAAACACAGGTGGAGCTTCATGGGCAGTGGGTCTGCGCTTCCCTTGGGCAGTGAAGCTCAAGCAGGGTGTGCTCCAAGGGCTGGGGCAGCCCCCAGCCTGGGTGCAGAAGAGTCCTTCCCCTTCTGTTGGGTCTGTGTCCCTCCTCTCTGGGGTGGAAGGGAGGAGGGATGTGCACCTGCTGTGCTGGGGAGAAGAGACTGTTTAGTGTAGATGCAAATTTCAGGATGGAATTCCTATTACAGGGCCAGTACTTGTAGAGCAGAAGACACAGGGGCATTCTCAAACAGCTGTAGGCTTGCAGGAATTATTTGGTATTTCTAAATGCTAATTGCTGCTGCATTTCTTTCCATTTTAAGAACAGCTTCTGTTATGAGTCATGCTCTCAAGGCCTTAAAGGAAAACAACCAATGTCCAAGTGTAAGTCTTGCTGCCCTGTTGGAAGGGACCACTCCTGAGAGACATATTGTGGCGATTTCTCTTAGAGGAGGTGTGGCTCTGTTTCCACAGAGTTGAGAAAGCTGATGTGGTTGTGTTTATATGAGACTTTAATTTTTTTAACTTTTTTTTTCATTGTAAAAGCTTAGAGCAGCTTTGAATACAATAATTCTGAATGTCTGCTCATTGCCTTCCTAACAGGTATTTGATTTCAACTCTGAGCACATGACTTGAGTGTGTGGCATGTATTTCCTCCCTGAGCTGTTCTGAAGGCAGCACTGAATCTGAGAGAAACTAGCACAGTGAAATGTGAAACTATTTTCTAGATGTCATCTATTGCCATTAATTATAATTCATCTTATCTTTCCATACTGAAGTCAATCCTTGTTCTTTGTCCTGTTGAGGAGCTAAGTGGAAGATCTTTTAAGGAAAAAGGATCAATTAAGTGGTGAAGGTAAAGTAGGAGGAACAGGAATAAATGCTGAATACTTCAAATGTATTTACATTTGGGCAGCTTTAAGAGACTTGACCAGATAGAGCAGCGATGCAAAACACAGCACAAGGTCTTGTTTCAAGCCCGATGCTGATTATAGGGTTGCACTAATCAAAGTTTGTGTAAATTTCCCTGGTTCAGCTGTAACTTCCAGCCACATAGTATCATCCTCCTTGTCTCCAGCACTGCACTTTTTGGAAAAATACTACTCTATCCCATTGGAAATACTGCTTAAAGATTCTTCCTTTGACCTTCTTACCAGAAGGAACAGCTGTTGCTCTGCTCTAACCTTTAAAACCCCCTTGGAAGTTTTCTGTTGCCCATCTCGGAGCAAATGCAAGGCTGTACAGACAGGGTGGTGGTCTCTTTACCTTCCTACTCATAACTAGTTGGAATGCGTTCACTTCTTTGAGCTTGTTAAACAGGAGTTGAGTGGTAATGGTTTGAAGGGTATAGAGGCATGAACAACTGCAAATGTGGTTTGTTTTTTTTCCAGTTTCGTATTTATTTTTATATTGATAAAGGCTTGAAGGCTTATTTAAAAATAAAAGTGCAGCTCCCATTCTCCCATTCATTTCACAGAGTCCAATGAAACGCTGTCCGAGAGGCTATGCGCAGTTCCCTGGAGCAGCCCTGGCATGCTCCTGCCCCGCACGCAGGCGCAGCTGAAGGCATCCCCTATGGCTGAGGAGCAATGGGCTCTGACCTGCTTTGTGCAGCCCCGGGGCAAATGGCTGGGCTGCACGTTGCAGGCAGACGCTGCCGCAGCTTCACACCCTCGGTCTCACCGAAGGGGCAACCACAGCCTGTCAGCTTCTTCATCTGACCGTAACCCAACCTCCCCCCATTTTTACTGAGAATCTCTTCCCTGTGCTGAAATGCAGCACGGAGGAAGAAAGAAGCCATGAATTGCATCTCATTTTAAAGACTAATTCTGTTACCATCTCAGGCAAATTACGTGTAACATCAACTTGTTAGCCACAAGTCTAGTGCTGCAGAAGCACAAACGATTGCTTGTTTATAGAAAAAGGCATCTGAAACATGTAATAACCTAAAAGTATGTTAAGTTCTTTTTATTAGAACTGTATTAGTCTTCTGTGTTGCTTCACCATAATATACAGGAAAATCCATTTAATGCATTAGACTTCCTCACGTAATTTGAACAGACAACTGCAGTCTTCTGATGTAATCCATTGTGGAGGTAATGATACCACCAGGTGTCTTACGTAGGTTCTAACCTCCTTTTCTTCAAGCTTTGACTTCTCCTGTGAGGGCTGCGCTCTGCCAAACAGGGAGATAGTAAGAAACAGAAGTTTCTTAAAGCATTTTTCTGCTTCTAAAAGTGCTCCTCAATTCTTTTTCTAGCTCTTCCTTCATAGGACAGTCGGATGGAAAAAACAGATAGTTCTCCTAGCCCCCTATCACAGCACCTGCAGCCAGGTCCAAGAAAAGAGGAACATTTCTCCCACTCCCAATTTACTAATCTAACAGTGCTGCTTTCAAAGCCAAGAGCCACTGTTAAGACAGAACTCCGTCATTTTTTGGTAGCACGTACCTGGTGTATGCTGGTTGGCACAGCTGCTGTTGCTCATGATTGTAGCAGATGGCTGCAAGTGTGCGAGTCTAGCAGGAGCTTTGTGGTAATTCATTCTGTGAGGTGTCCGGTTACGAGTAGTCATTTGATGATGTCCACGGGGTATTTCAGGTGTCCGGTGTCCAGCTGATGTGGTGTCTGCCATTTTGTGACCCATTATCTCAAGATCAATGGTCTCTAAGGAAATGTCCCAAAGTTCAGGATCATCTAAAACAAATGAAAAGGTGATCAAACCAAAGGTGACAGTATTGTACTACAGGAACAACAGTAACTCCAGGCCC